TCGAATTCCAGAAAACCTTTTTTTCCTGCTTGATGAGTCATGAGTATCCCCCCCCCCACATACACACCCCAAGCAAAGACTATTAGCTAGAGATATTTGTGAGAACAATTGGGAGCATGTCTTTGTCCTCGTGGTAAGATGTCACATGTCAGAACACTATTTCTTGCTTCACTTTGATTATTTTGTACCTTGGAGGTTTTAGCGTCATTTGGCGAGATCATAACCCCCGAGAACCCTTGAGTGCGGCGGGAAGCAATAACATGAATCAATACATAACAAAGTAGACTTGGTGGAAAATCCACTTGGGAAATGAGTGGAATAGGATTACACCAACCCTGTTAATGGAAGCCGGAGCTGGCGAGTAGAAATGGTGGGTTTGTTTCCCCCGAGGAAACGGGAAGCCCCGTCTAATCGTATTTTCAGTTACTGTAAGCTGAAGGGGAACCTCAGTGAGGAATTGTTACGAGAACTGCAGCCAGGAAAGATTTTTGGTTCCTTTGGGATCTACAGTTGTGTGGACAACAACGTCTTTCTTGGGAAGAAGAGGGGTGGGTGTGAGTTCCTACTGAGGCCCCACGCTTTTGCTACAGAAAATTAAATTACAAGTTGGACAAAGCACCAAAAGCGCCCTCATCAGGGACTGAAGTGAAGGAGAGGAGGCCGTTGTGTCCCACCTCGAAAGATAACTTTTCCGTGCATTTTGTTTTGCTTCCTCAGCATCTGGTTAGTGTCTTCTTGCAGTTTCAGCCTATCTACGGGAGAGGGTGGAGCCTAATAAAGCCTTCACTTTCCCCATGCACCCTTTCCAGATGCGTTTTGCATACCAGCCATCCTAATCTCCAAAAGAGACGGATTTTGGAGACAGAATCCATGCCATCCTGCTTGGCAATTTCAGGGAACTGCATGGGCACGTTCATGCTGCTATTTTGGCAATAGCTCAAGACTGGTTTGCCATGGCTGACTTCCAGAATCTGTCTGACTTCCCAATCTAGCCAATAGTTGTAGGATCTCCTAATGGTCTCTCATTCAAGTATTAAACAAATTAAGTTGCATAAGATCAGTTGAGGTGGGCTGGGTGTTTGTTCCTTTCTCGCCTGCCACTAAAGTTGGGTCTGACATGGTTGAAATATTCACTGCATATACAATTGATTAGCGTGGTTGGTATGATTAAAAAGTGGAGACATAGATTAACAGAGGTAATTATTAACTGACCAATCGATAATCACAGCTGTAACCCATTTGTGTGTGTGTGTGTGTGTGTGTGTGTGTGTGTGTGAGAGAGAGAGAGAGAGAGAGAGAGAGAGAGAGAGAGAGAGAGAGAGAAACAGATGAAATAAGCAGACATAATCCAGTGGTGGGCAAAAACTTTTAATGGGCTAAAAAGGAACAAAAGCGCTGGCTGGATGCAGCCACTTTGCCTACTGAAATCTTAAATGATGGTAGATTGAGTGAAGATAAAAAAGAAGAAAAGCAAAAAGAAAAGAACAAAAAGAACAAAAAAAAAAAGAAAAAAGGAAAGGAAAAGAAGCTTGTCCACACTATTCCTTTCAGGTGACAGCTCTGGCACAGAAAATCAGATGGGTGGTAGCTGTACTGCAACACCTGCACCAGCTTTCCTGGTTGGCCTGCTGATATGCTCGTTTCCCATTGCTACCATGGAAATAGTGCATCGGCCAGCCAGTCAGCAAGGCAGCGGGTGGGACGATGCCTGTAAAGGGGCCTTTGGAAATAGGGGCAGGCAGCATTCAGCCTGAGTAGAGCAGCTCTGGCATGAGGGATAGATCTGTGGGAGGGGAGATTTTTCAAAAGATGGTGGGAGATGTCTTCAAAAGGCAATCAAAAGGTTGGCTAGCGTTTCCTTACCAGGCCCCAGATTGAGAGTGATGGAAATGGAAGCCCCAGAGTGCCGCTGAGGCTGGTTTCAAAGTGTCTTAAACCACTGCTCTGAACATCTAGGGCTCTAAGAAGTTATTTTGTCCTTTCACAACTAAGGATCACAATGGCTCCCCTACTTCTCCTTTAATGATTAACATCCTTGGTGCTCCAAGACAGATTAAGGAGTGGCCCATCTAAAATTGTCTTCAGGTTTTGCAGTGGACTTTAGGTTAGTAACCAGGATTTATTTGTATTCTTTCATTGCCACGTTGGCATAGAGTGGTTCCGGGCTTGGCCTCATCTTGGCCTGAATCTTTAAAAAGCCTACGCTGCAAAAAAGTAGTTTTTCCAGAATGTTCTAGTTTGTGGTACCCATTATTAAAATAGCTTTGGCTTATTAGGTGAACTTCAATTACTGGCATTTATGCATGTTCACCTACAGACTTTGCTTTAACATCTCCAATGGCTTATAGTGCATTATGTGCATAGCACCATTATCTGAGTAATTATCAGTCCTATGATTCGGTAAATACAAAATTCCCATATGGCAGATAAAAAGGAAAAAGAAGGTTTTCTGCCTGTAACTACTAAGATTAGAATGGAGAACTTTAAATACAGAGCTAATTTGCTCTTCTCCAGCCTTGCTGCTCAGATGTGTAGACTTCATTTCCAACAATTTTCAGCTATGGTCATACTGGTTAAGGAATTCTGTGAGTTCATCTGCACGTCTGGAGATGCTGAAAGAAGGCTAAAACTATTTTTACCAGATGATCACTAAAACAATTCTGGGGAAACTCCGGGTGAATTTTCTCAAACATTGCTCAAGAGAAAAAAAAATCACCTTAATAAGCTTCCCTCCATCCCCTAAAGTGATCATTGTTAGTACTTTCAAATATATCATTATTTATGATTGTCTCATTCTTGCCTCAAGTAGTTAGTCTGTAATAAAGTCATCTCCATGCAGCATTTAGAGTAAATTTGGGGGGGGTCTTTCTTTTTTATCCACAATATCTTTTGCACCCCAATCAATTAAGTCAGTTTATTTTGGCTGTCTTGTGCTCTTCCTCCTAAATGTGCTAGAGTTAGGAATTGACAATTACCTCTGAAAATTAATTGCTGTAATCACAAGAAGAATATTGCGCTAACTGAATTATCTCCATGGCAGGCACAAGCTTTTTTGACATGAGATTTTAACACTAATGGTGAGCAAAAAAAAGAACAAGAACCCAAAGTGGT